CTTTAAGGTTTTTTAATATAAGATGTCTGCGAACAAGGATAATTTAACTTCTTCCTTTCCAATTTGGATGTCCTTAATTGCTTTCTCTTGTCTGATTGTTCTAGCTAGGACTTCCAGTGCTATGTTGAATAAGGTGTAAAGTGGGATCTTTGCCTGTTCCATATCTTAGAGGAAAGGCCTTCAATTTTTCCCTGTTACGTATGATGTTAGCTGTGAGTTTTTCATATATAGCCGTCATTGTTTCATTGTTTTGAGCTACTTTCCTTCTATACTCAGTTTATTGAGTGTTTTTATCATAAAGGGATGTTGAATTTTACTGAATGGTTTTTTAGCATCTATTAAAATGAGCATATGGTTTTTGATCTTGGTTATGTTAATGTGATGTATCATATTTATTTATTTGCACATATTGAACCATCCTTGAATCCCCGGGATTAATTCCACTTGATCATGTAATGATCTTTTTAATGTGCTGTTGAATTTGGTTTGCTGGTATTTTGTTGAAGATTTTCGCATCTAGGTTCATCAGGGATACTGGTCTGTCATTTTCTTTTTTTGTTGTGCTCTTGTCTGATTTTGGTATCAGGGTAATAGAAACAATAATTTTTTGAAGTGAGTTTTTAAGGTATATGAATGAGAAGAGCCACTTCTACTTCCCCATTTGGTCCCTGGATCCAAAAAAGCAGTACCATATACTGTTGCTAGTTGGGAGCATTTACTACATCTCCAGAGCATTGAAAAGGGTTCTCTCTCAGATGGTGCCATAACTAGGTCTGCTATGGTATGGACTCAGGCCATAAGGCCACTTGTCATCTGACTTTCTGCCATGGACTAAGTTGAGTCCCACCAAAATTCTTATGTTGAAGCCCTAAACCCCAATGTGATGGCATTTAGAGATACGGCCTTTGGAAGATGATTAGGTTTAGATGAGGTCATGGGATTAGTGCCCCCCTAAAAGGATACATCTGAGAGCTTGCTCCCTCTTTCACTCTTCCCTCCATGTGAGGGTGTGAGGACACAGTGAGAAGGCAGCCATCTGCAAGCCAGGAACAGAGGTCTCAAAGCAGAAATGAATTAGCTACCCAGTCTATGGTATTTTGTTATGGCAGCCCAAGCTGACGGATGTACCTTCAGAAGTCACCCCCTTTGACTTGTAGACTACACATTTTGGATCTCCAGGGACTACCATTAGCTCAGAGCCAGTGTCCAGTAATCACTGCAGAACATGGTTTCTCTCTTTTCTCCACTGCACAGTCTCCCTTGTAAGTGGCTGCAGTTCTCTTTGGAAGGGGTAGAAGGAAGATGTACTGTTTCTACTTGTGGCAGGGCTATATACATCTTTCCCCTCATCCAAAGGGCTCTGGGTCTATAAACTGAGTCAGATAAGAATTGGATAAGAGGCCATGATTCTCCATTGTGAAGGCAAGTCAAATCTCTGTTCACCAGACCAGAGGTTTTTTTTTGTTTTTTTTTTTTCACAAAGATCAAAAAAATAACTTTAGTAGGCTTCCCATTTATATCAGTTCTAGAGACTCCATGAACAACCAGCCACTACCAAAGATCCCTACAGGTCAAACCTTTTTGATTACTACTGTGGCCCTATTAATTAACACAGTAACCAAGACCACAGTGACTCCAGTAGTTCATTGGCACCAAAGACCCCATTTTAACCATCTCCCACCCAACATTCCGAACTCCTCAGGCCTCTGAACTCCTTCTATTAGGGGAAGTTCTGATGTTTCAACATCATTTAATGTAGAGTCCTCCTGTTGAGGCTACTTTTCAGGTAATCTGACTGCTGGGGATAACACGCTGAATCCAGAATCTTTGGTAGGAACAGTCATATCAATAAATTCATCATCAATCCAACACTGCATCTCCCCCTCCCCGGTCTAGAACCCTTAGGTCTAAATCCCACACACATTTCCCAAGTTTCTGGGCATGTAAATGAACAGAATCTTGTAAGGCTTTTGGTATTTTAGCTGTATCTTTCCAGGTTGGATTTTCTATTTATCCCCTTAAGGCATGATGAAATTGGATTATTTTTAGGCCTAAAGATAAAGACTAATGAAGTAGGAATGGGACGTGAATCTATCTGCCACCTCCTACCTGGGATGAGGTCAATATGTAGTCTCCAAGCAAGGTAGGACTAGCTTTATCACACGGGGCTGGAGGGCTGCCTCTGCAGGAAGGAAAATTAGTGGGATTTGTAGGCTCCAGGTATTTGAGGGTTTTTGGTTTGTGGCATTGTTCCAGGTATTTGAGTTCTTTTGAATCTACCCCAATGTCCTCATTCAAATTCTCACCATTTCATCTCTTCCTACCAGTGCTCAATCTTCACTTAAGTAATCTGATATAGCTATGAATTCAATTTACACTGGAATTCAGCAACCAGTAGTATCTGATTCTTGGCTACATTAGCCTGTGGTTATAAGAGATGGTGGAGTCTAGGATAGTCATAGAAGGTCCCTGGTTCTTTGTGATCTGAGATAAAAATTTTAAATTATGAGATTGTTGTTTTCTTTCCTTAAGCAATTTAGTATTGCTTAAGTGTGGGACTACTATAGCTTACATAAACTCTTCCCTTATTAATGATTTTTCAGCTTCTGCAATAAATTCTTAACTAAGGCCAGACTCAGGTGACAAGAAGATCTACATGGTACAAACATTGTACCTGACCAGTATGACAATCAATTCTCTAGACCCTGGGTAGGTGACTGGTTCCTGCTGCATTGGGCCTATCATAGCATATTGAGAGCTGAGACGGTGATAGTTAATTTTAGGTGTCAACTTTACTGGATTAAGAAATACCTAGGGAACTGGCTAAGCATTATTTCTGGGTGAGCCTGGGTGTTTCCAGAAGAGACTGAAGTGTGTTTGTGGACTGAGTGGGGAAGAGCCACTCTCAGTGTGGGCTGTCACCATCCAGTTGGCTGGGGAGGGGCTGGAAAGATCAAAAAAGGTAGAGCAAAGGGAAATTTGTGCATGCTCGTGCACGGTCTCTCTCTTTTGGAGGTGGGACACTCTTCTCTTGCTCTTGTGTATCAGAACTCCAAGCTCTTCATTCAGCCTTTGGATTCCAGGACTGGCACCTGCATAGCCCCAGGTTCTCAGGCCTTTGGCCTTGGACTGAGAGTTACACCACTGGTTTCCCTGGCTCCCAGGAAGGCTTCTGTACCTGGACTGAGCCATGCTATGGCATCCCAGGCTCTCCAGCTCGCAGAGAGCCTGTCATGGGACTTCTCAGCCTCTACAATCACATGAGTCAATTCCCTGAATAAATCCAATACTATTGGTTCTGTCTCTCTGGAGAACTCTAACTCAAAGGCCAAACCAATTTCCTGGAGTGCTGAGGGCTGGGGAGATGTTTTAGCTTCTGGAGCTCGGAGGACAAGAAGAGCTTCATCTCATTAGTCCTCATGCCTACAGCCTTGTAAGGAGTCCCCTCAAGGAGGGCCCAGCTCATCTACATAATGAAAACTGGAAGGATTTAATGTGACATCTCCACAGATGCAATGTTCCTCTAAAAGGCACCAATAAATGTTTATGGCCAAGAAGCTCACTGTATTTTAAAGTAAAGCGGTTTGGCCATTGCATTCAATTAAAACATTCTGAAATTGAGTTTTCCAGGTAATGTGTGGTGCATTTTTTCCACAACTCACTGAGCCCATTTGCTTTCACTTTCTCAAGTGTTTAAAAGTACAACCTGTTTTAATGGAAATTACAAATTCGCCAATGTCCTCTGTCAGGCTCCTTTAAATCTGCTATAATTATTTCTTTGGGCTGAAAATTCTTCTCTGCGTATGTTATTTCTAACCTGCAATCATTCTGAAGACCAGGATACAATTTAAAAGCCTTGAGGTTCTAAATTAGAATGTGAAGTTTATTGTGTGGCTCCAGCTCAGTGCAAATTTTTCCACGAAAACAGATTCCCGTTAGTACCCTCATCAAGAAGCCCTGTCATGACTGTGACTTTCAGAGCTGGAACAAAATGCATCCAAAGTTTCCTCTGACTTCTAGAGGGAGAGTTTAAAGTATCTGCCTCTAAAACTGTTTTATTTGTGGCTTGTATAAACACTCAAGTGCACAAAGCACTCTTTCTCCAAAAAGGTAGGCGCCAAATGTTTGCTTTCTCCAGGCTGTCCCCTAAGCACAGCCAGGAAGATAAAAAAGTTCTCATCCTTGGCTCAGTAAGTCACTTAAAGCAAATGCCTGCTCTGAACACAACAGGGTAGACACAACCTACTCAGTGTTTTGTACAGGAGACTTGGGGCTTATTATTTGATTAATGAGTAAGGGTGGCAGAATCCCTACCAGTCACTTTCATGGAAACAAAATTAAGTAAAGGCAGAGATATTCTGGGCTCTGACTCCACCTCTGCCCTCTGTTAAGTATAACTGTAAGGCAGTCACCTACTATTTCTAAGCCCCGGCTTTTTCACCAGTAAAATGAAGGATCACATCTTGCCCCCTGCCTTAGGTGTCTGGTAAGAGGATAAGTCAGTGTTGGTAAAGCAACTTGAGGCAAGCTCAAAACGTAATTAGATTATCCAGAAGCCTATGCACTACTTAGTTATAAGCCACGTTCATAAAGCTCTCAAAATCTCGGAGGGAAGCATGCAGTTTGCACATCTAGAGCAGACCTGGTCAAAAAAAAGGGGCTGGGGTGATAGGGACGCCAGGCTCTAGGACAGAGGGAGCTCCATTTAGAACTCGTTAATAAAGCATTTCATTCAACTTCAGATCCTACACCCTTATCAATAAACTGAAGATCACAGCCCCTACCCTGTTTACCTTCCAGGGCTAGCGTAAGGATGAAAACCAGAACAGAATAACGGAGGTGAAAGCACATGGCTAACCAAGCAAAGATAAAGTACTTTATAAATGGTAAAAATCTTGGCTACAAAGAAAACTCATTATGATTCACAGGGGTGACTTCGGCCCCAAGACGGAGGTCACAGCACAGAGGGGCAGAGAGAGAGCAGAGGGCGAGGCCCGTACCGGATGGTGGCGCCCTGCAGGCGGTCTATCTTCTTGTTGAGCTCGGCGATGACGCCGTGCAGCTCCGTGATGCGCTCCTCGTACCGCAGCGCCGTCCGCTCCTGCACGTCCTCATGCTCTCTCATGAGGTGGGACTGCTCGCACTGGGAACAAGAGCACAGGACAGAAATGCCCGTGAGTCGACGCACCTGGAGGTGGGGGAGTCTGAGTTTTACAGCTGCAAACCACTGCAACCTGGATGTTGAGCATGCCCTGAATAAAACACACGCCAGCCTGTTGGCTGGCAATCCCAGCATCACATCCACGGCTCGATTTTACGATGCCCCTGGTGGACATCCGAATCCTTGCCTTTCTCTTCAGGGAACTGTCCCTCTGCCATTGCACACAGTCTTTGCAGGGACTGACCAGGTTCCCTGCCTTCCCCTAGCCAAGACACAGGTGGACAGGCCCAATCTAGAGCCACCAGATACTTTCTTTTGGAAAACTGAATCTTGAGTAAACAGACCTAAGTTTGCATGGATTGGATTCATCAACGGCCCTGTAGTGAGTGTCTGTTCGTTCGTGTTTGTTATCTCTCTCGGGCTTGCTTTGTTTGTTTCTTTCTTGCTGTTCGTTTTGTTTTTTTTTTGTTCACTTCTTTTTTTGCTGAAGTTTGCCAGAGTTTGTTTCAGCTACTTTTCAACCAAACAATCCTAAATGGTATGACACCAAGTCTTACCAGGTTGGATTATCTGTGAATGTAATGCCTTCCATGATCCTTTCCTCCCAGAATATAAACTCCTGGAAGGCAGGGACTAGGTGGTTCCATTATTTAGCCTAGCACTGGCATACGGCCAGGGTCACTGCGGGCCATCTGTGAGTGCCATAGAACGAATCACACTGCCATGAAGACTGCTTTCAGAAGTAATGACAAAAGAGGCAGATGAGCTTCCTTTGCTCAGCATCTGATGAAGCAGCAGATGTTATAGAAATATTTTTGTTGCTGGAGTTTAAAACCTAAGGAACCTATTCACTTCTTTCCCTTCTCTGTACCCTCCTCACCCCCCACCTGTCACTGTGCATTTAATCTCATTCACATAAAAACAAAACACTCCTCAGTGATGGAAGAAGTAGTATATAGCTTGTGTCCTTGTCCTACTACATTCCACCTTGATTAATTTCCTGTCAGCATAGGGATTTTCATTTCATTTTCAACAAGGTTTCCTTAATGCCAAGAGCCATACGTACCTACCAGTTTTGCAGTTTGCACCTCCAGGCCTGGTGGCAGGCAGGGAAGGGGTATGGCTTCTCATCCACTACCTCCAATGTCCTCCCTTCCCTCCCTAAATCTGCTAGGTCCAATGGTGTAACAGGGGAAAAAAAGCTTTCAAAGACAAGCAGAGCACTGCACCAAGCCTAGTGCAATACTGAAACAAAACTACCAACAAAGAAGTCTGACCAATGCACTGGTATAAATCATGGTAGGGACCACACCTCAACTGCTTGGTCAGTATCAATGTAACTTCCTGGAGGTTACTCAGAGCTCCAGAAACGAGATTGGAGGCAATGAGGTTGTCGAATGCTGTATCATAGACCTTACTGGGATAGTTATTTCCAGAAAAATGCTGACATAAACTAACGTCCTTAGAGACAACCTGAAAGATCAAATAACCTCCACTCCATGTCAAGCACGTGAAAAATAAGTGGCAACAGAGGCAGGGACCAAGCCCAAGTGAAAGCCACATCTACGCAGAAGTTTCCTAAATACTTCCAGCCAGTTTTTCAGCAATACTGAAACAGGCCACAAACATACTTTTGCATGAGTTTAGGCCTTTTTTAATCCATCACACTTTACAAGCAATAAGAGAAGTCCTCAAAATGACAGTATTTCAAAGAGGGTTTCTTTCAATAAATGAAAAAGTTTCATATTTCTCTGGAACATACACTAATAGCAGAATATGTACGAGCTCTTGCTGTGAGCTCCTACTTCCATCCTCAGAGGTGTGTGTGTGTGTGTGTGTGTGTGTGAGAGAGAGAGAGAATATGTGCATATGCAGTGGACATGCCCCCAGAGGCCACCAGTTCCACATGGTAACATGACTACAGGACAATGCCCACCCTCTGACCACAATCTCATCTACGCCATGACACCTACGTTGCCATGTTGCTAGTTCCCTCTCTTTGGTTTCCCATATTCAGTTCTCTAGGGGTACAAAATAATGTGAAATGCTTCCACTCATCAAATCAATGAGCTCTCACTCCCTCTTAATTCCCCACCCCTTCTTCCTTCATTGCAGTCTTATAGGTCAACAGGCCACAACCAACATGCAGGCTGACAAGAAACTACAAAATCCAATGAATGATGAAGACGTGCAAGTGTTTATATTAGAACAAGGCACGTGATCAGCTGGTAACCACTGAAAGACCACCCTCTGGCATTCCTATTAACCGTTCTGAGCTGCCTAAAAGGTAAGATCCCGTGGGGCTGCCCAGGTTGCAGGATGTCGGAGGGAGAACGAGGGCAGGCTGTCTGGCATCACACCACCTCCGACCCTGACCCAGCTGCAAAGCCCGCCTGCAGGGCACGAGCATGAACATGAGGTAACGGGAAGCCTGATGACTCAGTCAGACCAAACAGCACTCGTACATAAAAGGAGGGGGGGAAAAAAAGACTCAAATCATATATTTGGAATGCAAGGATTCGTTTGGGAGAAGCAACAAGAACATATCAGAAAAAAAAAATTCTCTCAGCTGAGAGCAAAGATTTTATTTGGTTTACATTCCTGTATTTTTTGATGTTTTTTAAAAAATGGCAGCCAGCCTCTATAATTTAATACTCCCTCTGTAATATCAGACATTTCTTGATTTGTTTTGGTATTATGCAAACAAGACTGTGCCGGGTGCCATGGAGGAGGTGATCATGACACACGCTCCGAGGGGAACTGTGGTTACAGCTCCCAGGTGGACAGAGAATCCCAGACTTCTCTTTGGGAGAACAAGAAACACGGAGGGAAGCGTGGGGTGCAGAGAAGAGACGGTAGAGCAGCACACTGGGGAGTCCTCTCTTCCAGGATGCTGGAAAATAATCATCAGAGCAAACCGCCAGCCCCCGCCGTGTGACTGGCTGAGCAGACGTGGCTGAAGGTTCCCCTGTGCACACTCATCGTCCCGGCCAGAGACGAGCTGGAGCGCTGACCTCAAAGCCCAGTGAAAACGCTCCCGGCGTCTCTAAACTGAGGTGCAGGGAGAAGCAGAGCAACTGCCACACGCGCTGGGCTGCAGGAGGAAACAGGCCACCTCCTGCAGGAGCCACGAAAACCCGACAGGACACTCTGGTAAACAGCCCCAGTTAGACAGCACAGGAGCCGGGCGCAGTGGCTCACACCCGTAATCCTAGCACTCTGGGAAGCCTAGGCGGGCGGATCGCTCGAGGTCAGGAGTTCGAAACCAGCCTGAGCGAGAGAGCAAGACCCCGTCTCTACCAAAATAGAAGAATTAATGACCAACTAAATATATATACAAAAATTAGCCGGGCATGGTGGTGCATGCCTGTAGTCCCAGCTACTCGGGAGGCTGAGGCAGGAGGATCTGCTTGAGGCCAGGAGTTTGAGGCTGTTGTGAGCTAGGCTGATGCCATGGCACTCACTCTAGCCTGGGCAACAAAGTGAGCACCTGTCCAAAAAAAAAAAAAAAAAAAAAAATACCCACGACAGGAGTCAGCCCGAGTGGCCCCTGAGTGTGGGGCAAATGGAAGATGAGTGGGTGTCGCCCAGGGCAGACGAGCCATCCTGCTGCCTCTCCTGCCCTGGCGACCCCCCACACAGGCAGGGGTGGCCTCTTACGGCAGGGCCCAGTTCTGTGCCCACACTCCAGCATGGCCACTGCCCAGTGCCTCTCACCGCCAGGGTGGCCGTGCCTGGGAGAGCATTTTTTCTCCAGGGCGGAAGGTGATCGCGAGTGTTCCGTTTCATAAGGACACAGGCTGGGCCAAGCTCAATTTTGCGGCCCCGTCGAAGAGTCACCTGCGAGCGACATGCGTACCACTAAATCCTCACCCAGAAAGGTGACGTCCGATGGCAACCAGGCAGGCAAAGAGGTATTACTTCTATGATTACTAATTAATATATAAATAATCTTTCCAATTTTCAAGTTAAAACTTTAAGTACATGATAGACATTTTAAAAAAAATGATAAAAGACTCACCCATTTTTTTTTTCATAAATCCATTAACAATTCTTTTCCCCAAATAGCATTCATTTCCCTCCAGTATTCTGTTATGTATGTGGGGTTCCACCAGGACCACCAGGGGCGTGATCAACACCCAGCAGGGGCCTTCCCCAGGATGCCACCATCCATGCACACAGGTGGATCCTACTTCTCCCTCTTGAAGCTGAATATGGCTACCTGGCTTATTTTGGCCAATAGGAGTGAATACACACCATTGTGCCTAGAAGCCTTTAACAGCCCCTGTAGAATCTGTCACATTCTCTTCTGCGGGCCATGGCTACTAGCAACATAACAGATGGTAGGGACCCATCGGCTTAGGAGCCTGGGAAGGGACAATATAGCACAGAGTCCCCTGCCAGCCCCAGTGAGCTCCTAGGCAGACACGAGAAATAAACCTTTGATATTTTAGGCCACTGAAAATTTGGGGGTATTTGGTATCACTGCACATCCTGATAAAACCATTTTGTAGCTGAGAAAACAGGCTAAATGTGAAGCAACTGATTTATTTATTATAACCCAGGTAACAATCAAGAACCCTCTAAAAAATTCTGATTCTTGTTTATGCCACCAAGAGGATGAAGCTGTTGTAGCCACCATCTTCTCCCTTCTACTTCGTTCTCACCCAGCTCCCTGGCCTGCAGGTTTATCTCCTCTTCCTTACCATTTATTTGCCTAAGGATCTCCATTGGTATGCCTTGGTCTCATACTCTGAAATGCTTCTGCTAAACTTTAGGAAACATGAGTACTAAGCCTCACAATACTAAATGAGAGCTAAGAAAACCCAAACAGCTCTCTCCTCAAACCCCTGGGAGGAGGGAAACAGAAAAAGAGACACCACAGGGGTGTGAAATGGTAATCCGAAGTCGCTCCCAGCCTCCACCAAGCTAGCATTGGTGCTGCCAAGATCAATTACTCAGTAACAACTTTCTTAGCAGCCTTTGAGATCAAAGGCAGCCTCTTCTAGCAAAATTTACAAGTTGGGGATTATTTTCTTTTCTTCACTATACAGAAACAGATACAATCTCCCCCATACAATTTCAGCTGAACAAAATAAAAAATGGTCTCAAACACCATGCTACTGCCTTTTTTCTATTATTATAGGTAATTGCCTCCAGGGTTCTCCCTCCTCCTAGCCTATATTTAATTTTTGACTGATCCTACAGGGCAACAAAGCCAGAAAGCCTGTGGTTGCAATGTCTTACCCGCTGTGAATTTCTGGAGGTCAGTATCACTAGCAGTCTAGATTTTTCCTGCAACTACAGACTCTCAGTTTGAAAGGAAAAGAAGAAAAAAAAGATTGAGATGGGATATGATGAAATTTTGTTTTTCCTGAATTTCATCTGGCACTTAAATAAATATCCTGAGTTTCTTCGCGAGATCTCAGCTCTCCTATCATGATGACGAAGCAAATTAAAAATCTGTACAAATACTTGTGTCCACCCACATAAATTGGTGAAATTGCCTATATGCAAAAATGTTTAGTAAAAACAAGCAACCTCATCATTTCAACCACTGAGAACAAAATCCTTTAGGCTTATCTCTGCCGTGGATGCAATCCAGGGATAAATCCATGAGTCAGCCTCGAGACAGACTGGTCTGAGAATGTGAGCCCTTGCTGGAAAAACCCTGTGCGGTGTGGTCATGCTAAGGCGCTTTATGGTTTTGTTAATGTTCTTCACTGGGTTTTATCTTACTCCACAGAGGCCACTGATCTTTCATCATCGCATTAGTCTCAGCTGTCAAACCTAAGAGCATTGTGAACTGGATTCTGGAAAAATGCAATGCCATCGTTAATTTGTTAACCCTCTCAACCATCCTGTGAAGGGGGTCAGTACCACTCGCTTTTAAAACGTGCTAACTGTGATGTTACTTTCTCAGGGTCACATTGGATTGGTTACAGACTAATCCTACTTCGGGTATTTCCATTCTCACTCTCAATTCTTGCCCAGGTGCCCCCCTAAAGAGAAGGGGGGGGGCAAGCCAGCTAAACAAAAAGGCATAAGCACAAATGGAAATGCCACTACGGAGCAAGCAGTCTGGGCAGGCAGTTTACTGAAGAGTAGAAACAAGTAGGAAAGGAATGGAGTAGGGTGACCCTGACAAAGAAAACACATGCAAACTGCATTGTTAAGCTATCTTAGAAAACAAGAGAGAGATAAAAGAAAACACTCTCCATTTCATTTAATGAACACCAAGTATGTTCTCTCCCTGAAAGCCGACAGGTAGAAAATTCAAGAGACTTGCTTTCCGAAGACAGAGAGCTTAGAAATAGAAAGTGTTCCATATTACCGCTCACCAATTTCAAAGGGGGTCATAAACTTCTTTGATATGTCTCCTTCTGTAGTATTTAAAATTGCAGTAATTTAAAATAATTATTGGGACTACATAAATAGCAAATATGCTGAAAGCATCAAATCAAGATTATGTATGATCTTAGCCAGGTAGTTTCCCACTAGCATGGCCCCCATCAGGCTGTGGCATGTGGGTGCAAATGCATGTACATGTCTGTGTACCTGTTCAGCTTGGGAGGATGGGATATGCTGTTTTCAGCCAGTGCATTTATGACAATTCATTACACGGCAATAGAAAAATCAATACAGACGTACTGTGCTTTGTCCTCCCTATCATATTGATATCAGGCTCTTCCTTTCTTATCACTGTTCTCAAAACTCTACCTACAGGTTAAACTCATTACCATGTATAATGAACCTTCTTTCATTCAACCAGTTCCAATGTCACCATTAATTATTCAAAAGATGCTGAAGCTCTTTTGATAGTGTTTGATGAACATAACCACCATTTACATTTTACATTTCAGTTTAATCATAGCACTATAATATTTAGAGAGCTGGTAAAACTTACTATAGCCACAGAGCATAAATTTACACATGAATTTGCTGTTCCACAATCTGGTAAAGCCTCAAACATAAATCATTTACCAGAGCATAGAACACAGAAAGCACAGCACAGTCATTTCGTTGTTATTTTTTCTTGCATAAAAGGACATAATTAGGAATTAGAAATTTTCAGAAGTGAGATGATAGAACATAAAAACAAATTAGAAATGAAATGAAAATGCATTTCAGAAATGAAGACTAAACTAGAAGGCACAAAAGAAAGGATAAAAACAATATATAATATCTTAAGAGAAACAGAAGGCAGAGTACAAAAAAAAACTTAAAAAGCAAGAGACATAAAGAAGATGGTGACATCTTTGATAGGCAAAGATGATCTAATATACAAATAATGGAAGTCTCTGAAAAAACAAAGCCAGGGGGAAAAAACTAATATTAAACAATGTAATTAAAAAAAAATCTTCCCCCAAATTAAAAAACAGACTTCAAAATATAATCAAAAGAATATACACCACACCTGAGAATATCAAACTAGGACAATTAAGACTTACTGTAGTAAAATTACTAGAAGAAAAGAAAAAAGGAAAGCAAGATAAGAAAAGGAAAGAAGGAAAATCCCTTAAATATCTAGTAAGCAAGTGTCTTGTAAGGGAAAAGAAAACTATCATCAGACTTTGATAGCAACACTCTCTGCTAGAAGAAAATAAAGCAATATATTCAAGGAAGTAAAAGATGAACCAAGCATTTTATATCGAGCAAAATGCCTTTCAAGTAGAAAGGGCACATACACATTGTTATTAACATGCAAGAACTTTGGGGATATTATTCCCATGAGTCCATTCTAAGGAATCTACTGGAAAATAAGCTGTAGGCAAAACCACAAATTAAAAATGGAGGAACACTTACATAAGAGCTATGGTGAACATTAAACCTATAGTCACTTGTGGAAGAGTAAAATATGGCTAAAAGGGACAGAGTATATGATGCAATGGCTATATGGACAGGCAGCATTGATAACAGCACATGAAGAAAGAATTGGGGGAATAAAGAGTAGAATGGAAAAAGAATTTTTCAATCTCTTCTCAGTAACTATATTGGTTATGACAGTATTAATACTATTATTCTGAGACTGTATATAATGTGGGACAAAGCAAATGAGTAATTATGCAATATTCTAATTCTATGATCACCTGTAACCTTAAGAATCAGATTCTTAGTGTGAAAGAAAGGAGATACAGTTAAAAGTTAAAATAGCCTGTAGTTTGAACTTGAGCTGAGGGTATTAGCATAAATTCCTAAGGTATTTTATCATCTTCAATAGTATGTATACATATCTATGCACATAAGTAAATAATTTCCTGGCTCTGTCTACAAAATAGGCCTAAAATCAATGAGAAACTGAGAAGCAATAAGCATCCTTAGGTCCCAGATTGTGGTCTTGAAATAGCATTTCCCGCTGAGAGAATGTTAATTCCAGGTTTGGGGTAAGAAATGCACTACCGGAGCCTGGAATAACAACGACTAGGCTCATGTTAAAAGAATCAGGAGCTAAACTGACGAGGCTCTTACTGGCTAAAGATAGTACAATTTGAGTTTCTACATAAAAATAATTATGATGGATTGAAATTCAAATATGTTTAAATACGTAAATTCGAAATATTTCTAAAAAAGAAGTGGGCACAGTCAGAGGATCATAGGGAATCAATTCATTATCTTCAAAAATGTTAAATAAATGGAAAGACTCAAGTGTTTATTCTGCTTTTCCTCTAGGAAATACACCATGTTTCAACAAATAATAGGTGATGGGAAATGTCTCTGTAAAGGCATTCTAATTAATAACTGAAAAATGGAATAATTTAAAAATATGATTTTTAAACTAAGTCCTAAACTAAGTAATACACCTAGGCATTGAGTATCAACAGCTGGTAAAAATCACAGAAATATAAACAAGCAGGCATTTTGTGCCTCCTGGGAAAAAAAATTATACCCTTTTATGGTCTTGCCAAAGAGACTGAACATGAATCCGACTGCCTCTGGACCCAGCTGCCAATTTTCAGGAAATATAGGGAACAGAACAAGGTGACCTGCACTGTAAGTGTGCAATTATCAACACCCAGACTGTGGGACACTCTGGGTCAAACGGCCAAGAGTAACAGATAAATTAAAAAGCAAACAGAGAACTGAGGGAAAATCCACAGATTAACAAATATAAAGGAAACACACATTTTTTTTAATGGCCAAAACCAAAACTCTACTGTCCAGAGATGCGAACTCAAGTGATAAACTACTATAAAGGTCATATTAGTGGTTAGCTTTGTGGAAGAGAAAACGTGGAGACTGGGATGGGACACATGGATGAGTGGCCGGTAAGTTCTATTTCTCGGGCAGTGGTTATGTAAACGTGCTACAAATCGAATGTTTGTGTGCCCCCCAAAATTCACAGGTTGACGCTTATACCCCCAATGTGATGGTACCTGGAGGTGGGGCTTCTGGGAGATAATTAGGTTGTGAGGGTGGGGCCTTCATGATTGGGATTAGTGCCCTTATATAGAAAGAGAGATGGGAGAGATGACCTTGCTCTCTGCAACACGCGAGAACGCAGGGAGAATGTGGTCATCTGCAAACCAAGGACCTAATGAGCGTGCACCGTGACCACGGGCTTCCCAGCCTCCAGAACTATGAGAAACAAATTTGTCATTTAACTCACCTGGTCTATGGTTATTTGTTAAGTTTGCTCACTAAGCTGTAATTTGTTTTGCCAGAATTTCTATATCCAACATTTTATCTTAACATAAAAAAAGCCTAACAAACAAAAAAACCACATTTCTAGATTCCTTACGTGTGCCTTGGCCAATTTCTTTTCCAGAAGGTCCCGTTCCCGCTCTGTTTGCTGCAGACGTTTGTTGAGCTCTGCGATATCTCCCTTCAGCGATGCCAGGGCTGCCGAATGGAGCTGTGGTGACAGAGAGGAACACAAGGTTAGACTGCTGCAGGACACACTCATTTCCTCCTCCCCTTCCTTCCCTGTAGCTAGCACAACCAAATAAAAAAAAAAAACCTATCATCCAAAAGGAGACACTTCTGAGAATGAAAGTGAGTGCTATTAATCTCAGGGGACAACAGACATAAATCAGGTGTGTTCCAGGCACGCTGGGTTATATCGTCACCCTAAATGTTACGTGTGGGCAGTGGGACCTAATTTTGGATGCTATAATCAGGCCAGACAGTAAAACTCCTTCTTCTCATGACTTTGCCTGAGTTATTCAGTGAGGAAAATCTTGAGAGCTAGAGTGCAGCTACCTGGCTGTCAACAGGCAAAAAAATAAAAGGCAGAACCAAATTAACTTTCACCTTTGGAAGATATGGAAGCTCAAGGGGCAATTCAATATTTTTTCCAATTCAGTCACCCAAACTGCTGCAGGTATGACAGACCGATGGACAGGAGCTGAGCATTAAGAAAAAAGTGGGAGGAGCTCCTTTTTAAAATGATTTCCATTAATTTTCTTGCCAGTTCCTCCTTCCTCACTGCCCCCAGCAGGCTGCACTGTCCAGACAGATGCTTCTCGTGCGCTGGCAGCCTCTCTCAGGGGCAGAACCAGAACTCTGATAAATGATGCTGGGAAACGACAAACCAACAATCCACCTAGATACCTTTCCCCAGCCAAGTCTCTTGGATTAACTAGAATTAAATAGAATGTTCTCCAACAAATTAACAACGGGCCCCATGCACCTATAGGATCTCAATCTGCTCAACTTTCAGGTTCCAAACACTGAGCTTCAGCTGCACACGCCTACCACACACGTGGCTTCAGGCCGACTGATGGGACCATTTCCGAGACCAGCACCCTGACCCCAGGGCAACACCCCAAAACCTCCTCTCTGCACCCCAGGTCTCGTCTGTCCCCCCTCCCCACCTCCAGGTGGAGCCCAGACCACCTCTTCACTGAATTCCATATCACATTAGAGTGAGTGACCAAAGTACAACGAGCCATACCCCCTTTCTAGGCTTTCTGCAGCTTCTGTCAGGAAGGATTTAAGGTACAAAGTGAGCAATAAGATTGATCTTTAAAGGTGGACACAGGACAATGGTACGCAATTCAGCTTTGAAGATTTTCATGGCAGGCTTGGAAAAATGCTCTTTTCTGCAACCTGCCCCTGCACACACACGCATGCAGGTGGCTGACAGGCGTGGCGGTGAGGGTGGGGGGTGGGGCAGCGAGGAGGGGAGGAGGAGACACAGGGTGGGGAGTGGGGTTTCAAAGCCGGAGCGTTTGTTAGACTGTAATGGCAGTGAATGGGACCTGGCTTTGTTGCATTAGAGCTGCAAATCAACAGATCCACAGCCGATTTGAAATCAGGAATGCCTGAAATTTAAAAAAGAAAAATGTCAGGCAATCTGGCAGTATTTGCCTTCTCATGTAGTGCTAGGGCTTCTCAGAAAAGGTCACTTTGGGTTTCAGATACAAGGTTGTGTGTGATGATTTCTCAGCACAAATACCAGTGTTCCCATCGTGCAATATTTTTGAGACTGTTTTGCCTCCATTGTGGTGGAAAGGACCCAAACCCACTCCCTTTGACAGCTGGGTTGGCCCCTCAGCCTCTGAACTGTCAACCCAGGACTTTCCTTCTGCATCAGACACTGGGACATGCTACACCGTCACCCCAAGTCTTGGGAGAAGATTGGCCACCTCACCTCTGGCGAGGATATAATACATTGAGAGCTAAAATGTTCTTTAAGAAATACAAGAATGTGGGCCGGGCGCGGTGGCTCACGCCTGTAATCCTAGCACTCTGGGAGGCCGAGGCGGGCGGGTCGTTTGAGCTCAGGAGTTCGAGACCAGCCTGAGCAAGAGCGAGACCCCATCTCTACTAAAAATAGAAAGAAATTAATTGGCCAACTAAAAATATATAGAAAAAATTAGCCAGGCATGGTGGCACATGCCTGTAGTCCCAGCTACTCAGGAGGCTGAGGCAGGAGGATTGCTTAAGCCTAGGAGTTTGAGGTTGCTGTGAGCTAGGCTGACGCCACATTCATTGAATTACAAAATACATTTGGAAACTTCAAAAAAAAAAAAAAAAAGAAAAAGAAAAAGAAAAGAAATACAAGAGTAGGAACAAGGATCCCAACTCTGTGAGCCTTGACTGCTTTCTTCCTCATAACATTCCCCTCCTACTTCTGGGAAAAGGGACAGGGGAAACTGTGTGCTCCTCCACAGGCTTCACGAACCGGGCCAGCTGGAGACGCACACAGAGTAGCTGCTTCCACCACCGACCCAGCAGAGAGGTCCAGGCTGGGCCACTGCCATGGGGGAGGGCACTGGGCTTGGAGCTGATGATGCCTGCCCGGCCTACTGGCCGGCCCTCTAGATCGCCAGGGAGAGCCACAGGACGGGCATGGTGGGGGGCAAGTCCCTTCCCTTCTCCAGATGGAAGGTGTCTATCGACAAAATGAGAACAGATTCCTTAAGAATCTCATGAATGTGCAGAGTAGGAATGTGTGGTGCATGTGCATTTTCTACCCAGTCATGGTGATGACACGCTCTGGAATCTATCCATGGAGCGTCAAATAAGAAATGTCTGGACTAGATGCCAGCTCCGTGACCCCACGTAAGGCTACAACTCCGCAGACGGGAGGTGGAGGCAGGGAAGAAGTCACCGAGGAGGAGCTGCACGCCACAACATCTGGAAGTGGGCTGCCAGCCCGCTCGCTCCCTGGCCTCCTGCGCACTGAGCAGGAGACGAGGTGAGTTCCCACCACGAGACGGAGTGCTGCACGCGCACCCCTCGGGAATCTGAGTTCAGCAGCTCTCTTTGTCCCACTCTTGTCACTAACTCAGTGATCAAAAGAGGATGTGGGGGCCGGGCGCTGTGGCTCACGCCTGTAATCCTAGCTCTTGGGAGGCCGAGGCGGGCGGATTGCTCAAGGTCAGGAGTTCAAAACCAGCCTGAGCAAGAGCGAGACCCCGTCTCTACTATAAATAGAAAGAAATTAATTGGCCAACTGATATATATATATAAAAATTAGCCGGGCATGGTGGCACATGCCTGTAGTCCCAGCTACTCGGGAGGCTGAGGCAGAAGGATCACTCAAGCCCAGCAGATTGAGGTTGCTGTGAGCTAGGCTGACGCCACGGCACTCACTCTAGCCTGGACAACAAAGTGAGACTCTGTCTCAAAAAAAAAAAAAAAAAAAGAGGATGTGACCTCCCCTCCCTTCTTCTGGGGTTTCACCCCCTTCACTCTGGCAGGGCTGGGGGCATCCCTGTGAATTCAGAAGCTAGAGTGTTTGCGAGTGAAACTGCAAGACGTATGAAGGAACCTGTGTAGCTGTGTCAAGGCAAGCACGAAAAAAGAAGAACGGAGGTCCTTTTGGGTAATTACAATTTTTATTGATACATAATAATTATGTATATTTGTGGGGCACATGTAATATTTTGACACATGCATACAATGTGTAACGATCGAATCATGGTATCTTAAGGTATCGATCACCTCGAACATTGATCATTTCTTTGTGTTGCAAACATTTCAAATCTCCTCTAGCTATTTTGAAATACACAATATATTATGGTTAACTAGAGTCACCCTGGTGTGGTACCACACACTAGGACTTAGTCCTTGTATCTAACTATATGTTTGTACCAATTAACCAACCTCTCTTTATCCCCTGCCCACCCTTCCCAGCCTCTAGTAACTATCATTCTACTCGCTCCCTCCATGAGATCAATCTTTTCTTTTTTAGCTCTGACATATGAATGAGTGCATGTGAGATTTGTCTTTCTGTGCCTGACTTATTTCACTCAACATGATGATCTCCAGTTTCATCCATTCTGCTGCAAATGACAGGATTTAATTATTATGGCTGAATAGTATTCCATGGTTATATATATTCCACATTTCTTCATCCATTCATTTGTTGATGAGCACTCAGGTTGATTCCATATCTTGGCTGTGGTGAGTAGCACTGCAATAAGCATACTGGTGCAGGTATCCCTGTAATATAATGGTTTCCTTTCCTTTGGATAAATACCCAGTAGTGGGATTGCTGGATTGTATGGTGGTTCTATTTTTACAGTTTTTTGAGAAATCTCCACACTATTTTCCAGAATGGCTGTACTAATTTACATTCCCACCAACAGTGTAGGAGACTTCCTTCTGGGTAGTTGTTAGAACAGTGACTGTGGGTTTAAATCTGGGAAAGGTAAATTGACTGTAGCAGCCCAAATTATCAAATATCTATACGTAGGAAGTTACACTGACACCAATTTGGGGGATTCTTTTAGTCATATCCTGGTTTTTGAAATGGCCTCTAACTTGAGTGAGAGATTCAGACATGAACTATGAAGTACAACTGAAAGAAAATGTTTCATGAACCGAAGAGAAAAAAAACATGCTGCTTGGAGTCTGTGCTAGTGTCTTCCTCAACACAAATTTTTCTTCATCCTCAGGAGTAAGATCCTGATTTTTAGCTGGTCATATTGTTGCTCACCTAAAATACCCCAGTTCCCACATAAAAAAGTTCAGGCCCATGAGATGTAAGCAGAAATATTGTGTGAGGGGTATGGGAAAACATTTTTGTGACAGATCACTCCATTTTTCTCTTCCTCCATCCTCGCTGCTTGATACTTCACGTGATGGATGGAGCTCCAGCAGCCGCCTTGTACCATAAAAACAAAATTCACACTCTGTGGAGCTGAAAGGTACCCGAGTCCCTAAAAATCTGTGGAGAGACCCTACCAGCTTTGAACTGCCTAACCCCAGAATTCTGTAACAGAATTGCAAGAAATAAACCTCTGTTGTACAAAGCACTATATGTTGAGATTTTCTGGCAAATGAAGCTGATCTAATCCTAATTTACCCAGAATCAGATAAACATAGGTTCGAATCTCATTTATGCCACTTATTGGTAGACAGTCTTGGACAATTTATTTAATCCCTTTGTTACAGGGCTGTAGTGAAGACAAATGAGACTTCTTGAGACTCACTCATGAAGTGACTAGCACGGTGTCTGGAACCAGGTAAGCACTCAGCAAACATGCCATTTCCTTTTTCCCAGTCAAGTCTCAAGCCAACGGTGATTCTCAGTCAACAACCTTCTCAGGCCAAGCCCCATCCCAGGTGCCAAGGGACTCTCTAATGAGTGAAATGGTCCCGTCTTAGAGAAGATTACTGCCTGGTGGCTATCAGCACAGGGCTGGGAGGCCAGTAGCTGATTTGCCGGATTCTGCTGAAGTCCTAGGCTTATTATCTTAAGGAGCTCACAGCCAAGGCTCTTAATTCTTGTGAAGGTTTAACATAAGGCCTCAGCAAGGTTGCACGGGACCCTGACACTTGCTATTCAAATCTGGGCCCGGTGTGCAAAGGACATAAATCCATACATTCTCACGTTTCTGGAGACAAAAGACCCTAATTCCCTAGGCTGTTTCGAGCGCCGCTTCAGATTCATTTTACAGTGTGTGTCCAAGTGAAACTGAACCACCTGGACATTTGGCTGCAAGCTAACCGTCCAAATGGTTGCTATTTTTGGATGAAACACTGCTTGAGTAAAATTTCACTGTTCAACTGGCTGTAAGGACAGGCACGCTTAACCTGTGACGTAGAAGGCATTTGGCCTTGCGGGCCGAGGTGACAAGTGAGCAGTGCCCTTGTGACAGCCTCTCCCGGTGCCTTCTCCGTGCTGAGTGGATAGATGTCTATCCTGCTACGTATCTGCTGTGTGACAAAGGGCTTTGTGCTTCACAAGACGCCCTTGGAACCCAGCAGCCCAGCGACTCTGAGGACAGCCGCTCCAGGCCATCGCTGTGTGTTTATGACGATAAGGTGCTTCTCCACGGCGCTGCTCCTGGCAAAGTAAACAGCAAACACGTGCCCACGCTCTCCGGTATACATGGCGCTCTCCTGTTTGTCACCTCATTTGACCTTCACCATCACGCCAAGACCCTGTGGCCTAAGGGGAAGCTGTGGCTCCCAATCTGCTGAGGGACAACTGCTTTTCCCAGGACCCTCAGTTAGAACAGGGATGAGGACTTGAATCTAGGCCCCCAAGTAAAATATAAATCCACCCCTCGGTATAAAGTATATTTAAAGTATAAATCCACCAGTTAGAACAGGGATGAGGACTTGAATCTAGGCCCCCAAGTAAAATATAAATCCACCCCTCGGTACAAAGATATTTAAAGTATAAATCCACCCCTCGGTTCCTCTTTCTGGGAGGTCAGTCTGCCCTTTGAACAGCACTGTCTTCCAGGGGCTCAGCGGCCACAGCTCAGAGAGAGGAACGAGCTCATGCCCAGAGTCCCTGCCCAGATGCGGGTGTCACCAGGCACCTCTTGGTGCCGATGGCTGGGCCAGTCCTCCCCGCGCTGTTGGGAGGTAAGCTCACTCACCCGTGCTTGTTTTCTTTCTTCCTCCTTTACTTGGGCTGGCTATCCGAGGTGCTCAGGTAAGTTGTACCATCAGTGCCCGGGCGCCTCTATTTCCCTCCCACTGAGTGAGGACAGGAATTACAGTAGTCCCCTCTTAATCGTGGGGATCCATTCCAAGACCCCCACCAGTGGATGCTTGAAATCTCCGACAGTACTGAACCTGCACACACTATGTGTTTTCCTATGCACATATAACTAGGAAGAGGTTTCATTTATAAATTAGGCACAGTAAGAGACCAATACGAGTAACTAATTATAAACCAGACCAATTATAACGATATGCCGGCATCACTCCGCCTGTGCTTTGGGGCCACTGTGAAGTACAATACTTGAACACGAGCACTGCGACACCACACAGTCCAGCCGCTAACAGAGACGGCTGCTAAGGGACTAACCGGTAGGGAGCACAGACGGCACAGATATGCTGGACAAAGGAGGATTCCTTCCCTGGGTAGGACGGAGCCGGACAGCATGAGAGCTCATCAGGCTACTCAGAATGGACACGATTTAAAACTTATGAAGTCTTTATTTCTGGAATTTTCCATTTAATATTTTCAGACTATGGTTGACTGTGGATAACTGAAACCATGGAACGAAAGACCGTGGATAAGGGAGAGCTACTGTATTATTCTGTTCTCCCAACTGAACCACTTGCTTTCCAGATACAAAACGTACACATGATTTTTGCTTGTTTTAGTGATGACAATGTCTAGTGCCAACGTCTCTCACCCAGAGACCCCTTCATCAAAGGGGAAGAAACAAGAGCAACTAGACTTCACTGAACACATACCCTGGGCAGGTTCCGCGCTACATGCTTCATACGCTTCACCTAATTCGGTCAGTTGCTGAGTTCTGCAGAGGAAAGGCAGTATCAAATGCCAGCGCCACACTGGGAGCATTCTAAGAATTCTAGGCCACTGGATAGTAGTAATAGAAGTAATAATATTATAGTTACTATTTGCTGACTGTGTATGGGTACCAGGCACTTGGGCTAAGTATGCCATGTGCCGTATCTCATTTAGTCCTCACTCACTGCAGTGGTGTGAGATATTCTGACAAATAAGGAAATCAAGGCACAGAGGAGGGGTAGGGAATCAGCCCAAGGGTAGAAAACTAATAAACAATAAAGGAGATATTAACGCAGACACTTGATGCTTGAATCTTCTCTGCCATGTGCCTCACTGGCACCTCTAACTCAAGGTGCCTGCTCTCCCTTGCCTATGGGACACGTGCACACATGCATGTACGTGGGCGCGTGCTGTGGGAGGATGGGAGGTGAGGTGTGTGCACTGGCCAGGGAGGGGCCGTGGGGAGAAGCAGCATGTCAGGACCTCCATGGATAGCAGCACCTACCTGATCTCGGGTGGGAGCAGGGGAGGTGGCAGGGCAAGCCCTCAAGTGGCGGCAGTGATAAAGCTCGGGGCTCAGCTTGCTGTGGATTTGGGGGACTCTTTTTACCTTCCATGCTTTTCATCCTTTGTAGAAGAGTTTATGGCCGACTGTCTCTAACAGTCCTCCGGTTTCAAACCTGTAAGCGTGTGTGCCTGGCATGCTCACCTGCCTGGGCTCCACTCTCCGTTCTGCACTCGGGTTTTGCACACTTTATTTCTCCACTGGTCCCAGAAAGGATTTGCTGAAGCTCAACCATTCAAGGAAGCTTCACTCTATTAATACACAGAAGTGATCACAGCAAAGGTCTTTGCCCTAAAAGTGCAAAGAGCACTCAGAATCACACATAATCTTAGTGCTGGCAAAGGAATTTGAGAACATCTAGTCCGATTCCTTCACTGTAAAGAAATGAAACTGAGACCCAGAGAAACAAGGTTCATCAAATTCAGATTTCCTAGTTCCAAGTCCAGAGGCTTTCTCCTCTCCCAAAGGGTAATCCAACAGCGTGTGGGTAGTGAATGAATGTTTATGTCCCAGATGTCCCTGGAGACAGCAGGAGACACCTGCACACGAGAAAGCAGCTTCCCCTCCAAGACTGTCCACACCCAGGTGCTCCAATTCGGATACCTAAAGAACAGAATCTCTGGCAAAATGGTGTTCCCTGCTAGATGGATACCATCAGGCCTGTTCGGTGGCTTCTAGGACTGGAACATCCTTCTTTACTGCTAGAATTCCAGGTGGAGGCACCTGCTATGTAGCATTTCAAGAAATGCTATTAATAGTCTTAAAACTTAAAACTCAGTAAATATCATCTACAAGATGGCTCAGTGCATGCAAATCACTTTTTGGTGTGCTAGATCAACTTAGAAATTCAGTTGCTGAAAACAGCATTCTAAGGCCCCTTCAATTCAACAGGGCAGCACTAGGATACCATCTACCAAAAAAAAAAAAAAAAATTAACCCCATCCAAGGTGCCTGACACAGACAATAGTGCCAGATTGCAAAGCAGGGTCCAGGTACCCCCTGTGAAGGCAGCCAGACCGTTGCATCCAGGAACACTTAAAGCCACTCTTCCCTTGCCCCCTGCAAATGGTTGGGAAGACGGCTCCCAAGGAGGAAAGGTATCTAAGACTGACAATCAGCTTTGAAGATGATCGTGAATCTCACCCCATCTGCAAACATATGCTCCTCTAAAAATAAGCCCCATCATAATTTTTACTGGCAGTAACATTAGCTAACATGAATGCTTACTATGTGCTAATTGCTATAAATAAGCACTTAACATGCATTTTCTCATCTGCTCTTCACATGGCCTTCTGATATGGGTACTGCCATTATCCCCCATTTAAAGAGGTAGGAATTAAGGTTTAGAGGTTAAGTAACTTGCCCAATTAGTAAGTAGCAGAGTTAGGAGGAAAGCTCAGTGTGTCTAGCCCCAGGGCCTGGTTCATAACCACAGTGCCCCATGCTTTGCAACAGAGTATCAGTACTTCTGAGATCCTTGCAAACAACTCATGAAACTGTTGAGAAGATAAGGTCTCAGACCGAGGGTTATTTTTTTAAGACTGGAAAGCAGAACTGCAAGATTAGCATGGGGAAAAAAGTATTAATTCCTTAAAACTTCCAATATTTTAAGAAATAGAAGACTATTCAGCTGGTCTCAGACCCAGGAAGGAATCAGAGAAAAATTAATCTCCGGCTATTTCCGTATTCTACAAAGGAAAGAAGAAAATACTGCAGTGTAGGCTAAAAAGCTCTTAAAAACAATTAATTATGCTACTTCAACAGTGCAAGGAAGAAAAGGTTACTTCAACTGTTAGATCTTTAAAAATGAAAAATCTAAACAGAATATTTTATATACCTTTTTAAAGATGTACTATACAAATATTATGAGACAATGGTAGCTATTAAAAATAATTCACTTAGTATTTTCCACTAAAAAAATTCTAATTTGTGGTGTTACTTTATTTTCAAGGAAAACCAAAATTACGTGGTTCTACAAGCATTTCTGGAAAGAAACATAGACGAAACAAGATACCGCAATATACTGGCTACACTCACTTAAATTTCAAGGTGGGCTGCATCCTAATGACACATCATGGGGGAGATGAAGATGTAACAATTAAATCCAGCTAATCAGAGGACATGAATATTTCAGCACACACTAAATACTGATGTGATCCCTGAGGCAGAAACTCCCACAGAGAATTATATGAACATGAGTAAAAGAGTTCTCTGACAAGGCCTGCACTGTTCATAAATTTTTATATTGATCCAATTTAGCAGGTATTGGACTCCCCATTCTAGAGAAACCAAGTACCTTTAATGGCCAAACAGTCAATAAACTCTGTGGATCAGAAAAGGCCAGAGTATTTTTACAGCAGTGGTTGACGTGCTTTGAAAAGACCCTTCTTTTTTACTGTATTAAGGACAATGTTTTTTCTTCGGGAAGGCAACTGAAGGTTTAGATTTGAGTGTGCGCATGCGCGTGCATACATATATATGCACGTATACATACATTTACGCACATGGACTTTATACAAAACTCAAGGCACATGCTTTCAGACTTTTAATTAAAAGCACAGGAGACGGCCAACATGTCGACTATTAGATATTCAATACAGTCATTTGTAAATGCATTCCCAGCGTTTTAAGATACTTTAACGTGCCTTATTTCATTTAAAGGAAATCACTTTATATTCGTGATGTAATGTGATCACATGGCATCATGTGATGCCACGACATGCTCCCATTCCGGGGAAGGCCCAGGCTTGTCCTGAGTCACCACAGGGCGGCTGGCTGATGGGCCACTTCACTGCTCAGTGGGACATTGAAGTCAAGGCACCAGGAAGGGGGTTGAGGAGACACATTTCAAATCTGCTCAGTGTTCTCTCCCTGATGGGGTCCTGCTGATTGCTTCAGAGAACAGTGTGTTTAGACAGAAAGAAGAAAAGGCTTTTAGGTTTGAATCTTCTCTCCTTTGCAACTCACTCTAACCCAGCCAACCACAGGCCCAACCTGGATCACTCTGTTTCCAGAAAAGGAAGACAATGGGAAAGACACTAGAGGGAAAGAAAACAATGAGGGGGTATTAGGGTGTAGTTTAGTGGTTAAGGACACAGGCTTTGTCCAAAAGCAAAAACAAACAAAACATCCTGGACTTGAGTACCTGTTCAGCCTTGGGTAACTTATTTAACTTTTCCAACTCTCAGTCTACTTACTCACAAAATGAGAAGAATACCCACCCATTAGGAGTTGTGAGAATTAAATAAAATATAGCAGGTAAATCACTTAACCACAAGGTCAGCTGTTAGACTGTTAGCCACAATGACCTAACTTACCACTTTAATTATCATGATCATCTTTGTCACCCTTTCTGCCTGCTAAAAAGTAGAAAAATAAAATTGGGCTTCCAAAGCAGTGGTGGGTTACTATCCTATCTCCTTGTCTACACCAGCTCTGATTAAGCAATCAGAACGATGCTTCACACTGGGGCCCAGATCACATTAATCGCAGTAATGTATACTTTGCCTTTCAACATGTGTAATTGAATCAGCTGCTCCCTGCACCCCGGCTGGGCCAGCAGGTAAGCAGGCAAACACGGTCATCCTAAATAGCCTGGAAACCGGAATAGCCTCAGGCCCAGTCCGCAAGCCCCCCCACCCCCACCCCAGTGTCATTCAGGTAAGTGTCGATCAAGATCCAAGTGGGACCTGTATAGTGACACAGTGACCCTCAAATGAATTTCCATAGAAATATATCTCAGTGGTAATAAGAGAAGACAAAAATTTATCGTAAGCAAGGATGTGCACAAAGATCTGTTCATAACAGTGAAAGAACAAAAACATAATAAATTGTATGATAGGCATAGAACACTATGTTGTCAGCATAATAGAGAAATTTTATATATATATATATATATATATAAACTTAACTTGGTAATCATTATTCCCATAGGTAAGGCTCGTTCCCTAAATTCTTTCAGGTGGATTTCCACCTGCTCCCCACAGACCACCCATTCTTCCCCACCTGCTTTGGATCCCTTTACTCCTCTTTATTTTTACTAACACTGTTCTCTGACATCATATCCTAATGGTTGTTTTGCTGACTTCCGGCCCCCATGAGAGTATGTGTTCCAAGATATCAAGAAGCTGGGGAAATAGCTCACAAATAGGAACAACTGTGCCTGGCACATGGCAGAACTTCAAGACAATACTTGGTGAATGGCTAAATTTAGAAACTACAGATAAAAGAACTTACATTATCCTTACCCACCCACCTAGAGATCCTATCACCTGCCAGTTTCTGCCAGACATTTTTCTATGTGTAAATATAATAGCTTATATGAAACAGTGAGTCTAATATAGTAGTATTTTTGGATAAAATACATAACTAGAAAGAACTCTGGAAAAGCAGGTACCAAAATGTTAACAGCATCTCTAGGTTATCTCTGTGTAGTGTGATTATAGATCTTTTTCTTTATGTTTATTGTATTTTCTTCTATAATGAAGATATATTAGTATTATACAGTTTTTCAAGGGTTTTCTTGGCCCCATATACAAAGTATTATGGAGATCACCACTAAGTAGAATACGTAATTCCTTGCCCTCAACAAATTCCCAGCATATTCAGGGAGATAAAACAAGGATTTTCAGGATCTGGGAGTTGGAAAGATAGATCATTAGCTGTCCTCTTATCAAACAGTCCAGCCAGAGCCAGAATCTTGCCCGCAGTGTAGCCTGTAGGTAGGTGGTCACTATGTCTATGCGATAAAAAGCTCAGCAACTCCTCAGACAGCCAAGCCTGCTCACTGTTGGACAGCTACAACCATTTGCAAATTTTACCTTACACGGAGCCTCTGAAATCACCTCCTTGTAACTCCACTGTCTAGCTCCACAAGCAGGACAAAACCAGTAACTCTCTTCCATACTTCACACTCTCCAAAGAATTCACTGCATCAATACTGTGAATCTAAGTCATCAAATCTCCAGAACGATCCTTCATCCCCCAGGATGCCAGTGCTCCTTTTGGTAAATGGTACCCACGACCAAGCACAGCACTCCGGATGAATTCTGCCCAGCACATTTCCTGCGTGCCAGCCAGTCGCTTTATAAGGTTTTCATGGAATTCTAACAGCAACCCAACAAGAGAGGTGTTATGGCGACCTCATTTCACAGAGTAGGAAACTGAGGCACAGTTCTCTAGCACTTGAAACCACAAAACCTCCAAGTTGATGTATCACATTTACCATGGGTCACACATTTTTGAGAACGAATATCTGGTGTGGGCCAAGGGAGAGAGTCTGAAGAGGCAGGACTGCAGACTTGGGTGGCGCCCAGCACCAGATGGTTTACAGCAGCACCACTAAAACTGGAAAGGCCACTGGTCCCAGAAGGGAGTTCCAGTGAGGTACCCTGTACTTGCTTTGACAGTGCCTGGCACAGGAGGGAAGAAGCTACTGTGTAGGTCAAGGCAGCCTGAAGGCCGTGGCCAAACAGGGCTGTTCTACCCAAAGGACCCAGCTCCTGCAAGTAAGCCATGCACCCACCAAGGCTGGTGCACGCCCCGGACCCCGCCCCATCTGCCACGGCCAGCCTGGCCAGGCCCTGCGAGGATTTGCAATCCCTTGCCAAATCACAGAGTTGCAGACAAAAGCTACAATACAATGCAAGTGAGCCCCAGCCCAGAATGAAAGCCTGTGGTTTGAGTCTAGCTTGATGGCATTCCATCCAGCTCCTTTCCAGTAAGGAACTGCCTCTCCCACACCAGTCACCTATCCTCCCACTTCGTCTCTAGAAACTACAACATAATAGTAATTTGGACAAGTATGTAACAGCTCAGCATTATTTTAATGCAGAAAGCCTCCCTGTTTTTGCCCCTACCTGCAAGGAACAGAAACATTTTATCACATAATGCCTTGCCAGTTTTCTTTCTTGCAAATGTATTTATTCCCTCTTTCCTGCCCCCTTCATTTCACAGGCTAATTGGGAAATTCGTGAAGTGCAGCAGGGGCAGTGGCGACACTCAGATTGCAGATGTGAAAGCTAAGGACAACGTGCTCATCGTCACCCTTCAGCTGTTGCGGGGACTCCGTGACACCCCTGGAAAGAGAAGCAGAAAGAAGAAAGAGGTGGCTCGCACTGGTGGGCGGATTAAAGAAATGTTCCTTTGGGCACATATATTCATCAGTTGTTTCTGACTTTCTCGAAATGGTAGGAGCCTCCAATTTGGGGCGGGGTGGTGTCCTCCAGCTTGTAACCACCCAACAAAGCCACACGTGGTTCCAGACAGAACTCGATGACGGTGAGAGAGAGAGAGAGAGAGCGAGCTTGGTTGCTGGAGGAGGTGGGGAGCTTTTGGGTAATCACAACCAGCACAGGGCCTCCTGAAGTGAGGCTTTTTTTATCACGCGTCTTTGGGAATGCCACTGCTTTCTTCCCATCACACGGGTTCATTTGCAAACTAAATTTCTTTTCGTGCTTATAAAGGGGGGGGGGAGGAAGAGGGCTGTACGTTTTCCCAAGCTCAAGAAGCCCAGCCTAATCATTTGTTCAAACATGCCTCAGCAGAAAGGGTGACATCTAATCCTTGGTTTTCTTGCCATGTCTACCACCCCTCCCACCTGCTTGTATACACAGCACTAGAATGCAAACAGAAAGACTCCCTCGAGTTGCCTTATTTATTTTCCTGAAAGCAGAAAGGCAGCAAGCAAAAATCTATGACAGAATCCCGGGCTGTTTAAGAATGAAACACTTCCCACCTAGGTAAAAATGTCAAAGGGAAGCCGAAGTCTGGCAGTGACTAGAAATATTGCCATTTCGACAATACAAAAAACAAAGTTTACCCAAACTATTACAGCTAAGCCTCATGGCTGAAGACGTTTAGGCTGTCAATCATCAGGCACAGGACTAAGTACGGGGGGAAAGTGCTGAGCAAACTTTGGTCTGATATTCACATGGACTCTCCTTAGGGCCCCAGATGAGTTACTGTGTGAGGTCAAAATTCTGACACGTTAATCATGGAACAGCGTCAGTGATAATATAGTTTAAATACAAAC